TGTAGGGCTTTTAACTAGCTGCTTTTAACTGGCAGGTGCCTTGGATATTTAGCAAAAGTTACAGTACTGCCTTCCCTTGTGTCCAAGAGGTTAAATCTTGTTGTTTTCATGGTGTTTTGTGAGTTACATTTAAAGTCAGCTTTATTTTTTATGCTAAGTCTATTCTTTTCAATTAAGTTTTTTCTTATACTGCAATGGTTTTATTCCACTGGGAAAGTTATAGGAAAGTACCCCTAAAAATAGAAAGAAAAAAAAAAAACCAGGAAAACAGGGGGAAAATGTTAAAGCATTTGCTTGACTTAAAAAAGAGTGAAGAGTGTGCTATGTGTCTGACATTGAGGTGTCCACTTATTTTTCCTTAGTTAATCTTTACAGCAGACAATTCTCATGGTTCCAGTCTACAGCTAATTTTGAAAATATCACATACTCTGTTGAGTTTTCCACTGGGCTGACTAAAGATGTCTACTTTGTTTTTAGAGGCATCCCTTTTCTCCTTGCTGCTGCGTTCCCATATTTTCAAATTACTACAGTCTTAAGTCAGTTGAGGCTTTGCATGAAGCTCAGCAGGGGAGAGCTACTGATTTATATCCAGTCACTCTCTCCACAGTCTTATCTGAAAATGGCCTTCTCATGCAGGATGGCATAGGCTACTTCCTGAACATAAAGATATATGCTCCCTTCTGGGAAATAAACTGATTTAAATTTCTGCCTGCTTTTCCTGGATTGACAGTATTTACTGAGGAGGTCATGCATTTGTCCTGCTAACTCTTTACTCTTCCACTTGACTTACTTTTATTTGGCTTTATGCAGTAAATGATGACTAAAAAGAGAAATGATTCATTTCTGGGAGACATGAGGGAATAGGAGAGCACAATTTTCTTTTATCTCACTGAAGATGAAACCTTAAAATAATATTTCCCACTTGATCATTCAATTCCAGAGATATGCTTCAGGAAATATTTCTGGTCAGCATTTATTTCTTAACCAACTCACAAAGTTTTCACCTACTCTTCTTGCAAACTCACAAGCATTGGGTAATGCATTTCATGGATTGGAACAACTATAATTTTAAGAAGTAACACATGCATGCTTTAGTATTGGAGCAAACTGGTGATGGTCTTTGCCCCTCCACCTGTCCATGACTGACATGCTTTCTTATGTTGGCCAGATGGGGAGCCCTTCTCCACCTAGGCTGGTATTTCCTTGAAGCTGCTTGTTCAGCTTAACAGGATGCCTATCTAAGCAACTGGAAAGGTATATGAGGACTTATGACTTATTTTTCACATCCCATCACTTTCTTACCCATGATTGTCTTCCATTCTTCAGTCTCTGCGATGGAGATTTCTAACCTGTAGTCTATACATCTCTAGTTCTCATGGATGGATTGTAGAGGATTCAAAGTCCTTTCATATATTACACAAAAATTTGAGTGGATATGTGGCTGTATATTATTCTGAGGGAATGTGTCTTAGTGCTCATTAGATTATCAAAGGTCATTTGGACTCAAATTGTTGGAGTCACCCCAATGACTTATGTTGAATTCTGTAGCTAACTAAACCTGATAGTTCACTAATTATATTCAGCTCAGGGAATAAACTGTGAAGTGTTAATTCCCTGTATTATAATTTATGCTTATTTAATTAATTGCATGTATGGATCTAATTCAACTTTCCTATGACTTTTCTGCTGAAAGCCTTTTGAGGCTCGAAAGGATTTATTCTGCATGCACTGTGCTCATCACCCCACCAGGCTGAATCCTTGTGCATAATGACATGATCTGGACATGGATAGCTGGGATCCATGGCCATTTGCCTTCCATACCTCCTCAGCTCTTAAGAACTATTTATGGCTGAGGGTACCTCAGAAGGTAGATTGACTGCCTTGCAAGGACAAGGCTTTGAGTTCAAATTCAAAAAAAGAAATGTACTATTGAACTTAAACAATCTAATTATGAAGATTATTAAAATCTCAGTTTGTAGCTCAGTGGCAATAGTGCTTGCCTAGCATGTGTAAGACATGGTTTCAATGCTCAGCACTACAGAAATAAAACAAAACTTTCCTCATAGGTTACTTTTTTTATTTTAAAGTATTTTTTAATTTTTAAAAATTCCTGATGTTGCAGAAGTAAACTTAAATATGTATGTGTATCCACTCTTACATTTAACAAAAAATAAAATTGTTCAAAAATCCAAATTGAACTAAGCATGGTGGTGCATGCCTATAATTCAGCACTCGGGAGACAGAGGCAGGAAGAGCTTGAGTTCCAGGCCAACCTGGGCTCCATAGTGAGACCCTGTCTCAAAAAAACCAAAACTAAAGCAAACCAAACCAAAACACAAATCAATACAATCCCAACATATAAAGCAGTGAACACCTTACATAATGAGCTATGCATCTCAGTGTTACTGAGCAGAGAAATAGATGCTTTAATTTTAAAAATCCTACAAAAATAGAAATGTATAAGTTACTTAAAATCAAGAATTGCTGTGTGTTCACAAGATAAGAAAATTAATAACGACTATTGTTGTTGAAGAGCTAGACCAATGTGGGAGAATCTGGTGCTGACATCAGATTGTCAATAAGACAGCCACAGTTTATCTAGCAAGTTCCACCAATCAGAAGTCTACTACAGCCATTGATCTACTAATGTCTTTGGCTCATTTGCCAGTAAGGTTGGCTTTTAAATGGCATTTGTGGATCTGGATACACTGATCATGCTCTGGAGACATCTTTCTAAAACAATGGCATGCACACTGATCTCTACATGCATCTTGGACTGGAGGAGTGGCTCATGTGATAGAGCATGTATGTGCCTAGGAAGTACAAGATTCTGAGTTCAAACCCCAGTACTACCAAAAAAAAGAAGACATCTACATGTACCTTTTTTCCTTAATCTCCTTTCTTTCCAGAGATAATTCCAGCTTGCCTTCCTTAGCATAAGCAGCCAGGGGTCACCCATGTTGAACAGTCTGGTATGTTGAACTTAAGCCAATGATCAAACCGTCAGTGAGTGTTGATAACTGAATACTGCAGCATGAGGGACTGAGCAGGCAGAAAGTAATTGATGGGTGGCCAGAAAGAAGAGCGAAGACATGAAATAAGAGAATTGATTTAGGGAAAGAGATGTGGGCCTTACTATAGTGTCTAGATTTTATTTTTGTGTCTATATAAAACACATTTTATGGCTATGCAGTCATCTGAAATGACATCAAAACTTCTGGGCTCAGCTATTAAGAGACATAAAGGATGAAGTCACTAAAGAATTATGCCCTTTGATAATGTCACATATACTTCCTAACCATCCTTATTATATATATTTATAAGTATTACTATTTCCATTGGCTACAGAGAAAATGACTTGAAATGAATTACACAATAGGGACAATTTTGTCTGGTCCTGAAAGTAAGTAAGACAAAAGAGGGTGAAACTATAATTGTAAGCTTCCCCTATGTCTTATTTGTGAATCTAACATATTATTAACAGCATTTTGAAGTGGTAAACTTCAGAGTGACTATTAACAAAGGCCCTCCAATCTAATCAGCACTGAGGTTTTTTCTCCACTGTTCAAAGATATCATTTATTTTTCTCAATGTCATTTTACACTGCTTCTGTGCTGGGCAGAGGAGAAGGGGCACTTCAGACTGGTCAACTGAATTCCTTCATTGTCTAAAACTGCCTATGTTTGGGCCAAACTCACCCAGATTCAGGATGGTCAGCTCCAACTGCCCTGGTTCAGTGTTGCTCATTCCTAAACCATTTGGAACATGCTTATATTTCTTCTTAGATATTCTCTAAATGTCTTGAGAATTGCAACTGTTACATTTGGATCCCTTAGAGTGTCACAATTCTCCTGGTTGCAAAATCTTGTTGGAGACCTAACAAGTTCCAGCAACACAGATAGTCTAACCATGAGATCAATGCTAAAGGGATGAGAAACAGAGAGCAGAGGATGGGAATAGCCTAAAGAACACACAAATGTGTACAGGTAGGCGCAAGGAATTCTGGGTATGGAATTCATTGTAATATACTGTTCGAGCACCAAATGCAACAGATGATAAAGGCAGAAATTTGAGATTGACAAAATGTTGGGAGCAGGTTGGGGAAGTGATTCTGAGGAGTATTAGCTTAAAAAACTTACAGTGAGTTGGGCACCTAGCACAGGGAGGCAGAGGTAGGAGCCTCGTGTGTTCTAAGCCAGCCATGCTACATAGCAATACCCTGTCTCAAAAAACCCATAGCCCCTATATAAACCAAAAACAATTAATTCAGAATGAGAAACAAATTTTGGCCTCATTGTTTTCCATGTTTCTATATTTCTGACTTTTTAACATCATATGATAAAATATTTTCAAAAGTCCGTGTTATCCATTGTAAACCATTTCCCTGACCATGATGGGTAAAGTATGAAGAAACCACAAGAAAGAGAGATATATATTTTATTCAAAGAAAGTTGCAGGAAACTAATTTATTAACAAATTTAATACTACTCACATCTAGGGAATTGTGTAGCTTTCTCAAACCTAAGATCAAAATGTCTTAGAAAAAAAATTGTGATCCATGTTGGTTACACCCAGCTGTGGAGTTTTGTGGATGTGGGGAAGGAAAAGACCACTAAGAAGGAAAGCAGGATGCTCAGTATTTGGGCATGTGGAGGAGCATGGAAAAGCAAAAATGAAGCATTTTTACTGGGTCTAATTTTAACATGACCATATGACAATAGAAAAGTACCATAGGGTTCATTAGAATTAATGTGCCCTTAAGGCCCAGTGAAGAATGAGACATACAGAAAGATTTAAAGCTGCTGAAAAAAAAAAGAGAAATGCTTAGTTTCAGGTATTGATTTCTGGGTCTCCAGTGAATCTACATGAAGTGCAGCGTGTGGTGGGGGGCGGTGGGTATTTTTGTATAACCTAGGTAGTATAACACAATTCCCTTTATTTTCTTCTATAGCTTCCTTTTAATGCTTGTGGTTTTCTGCATGTGAGACCTCTTTGCTGGCTTATAAAATTGGAATGTAACTGTTGATTTTAGTTCGATGTCTCTGTGAAATGCATTCCGCTATCCACACAACATTTCTCATTTCTTGTTCCTTCAGCTTTACATACGCATAAAACACTCCATAGTGGAACTGCCTGTTAAATGCCAGCACATTCATTTGTACCTGAGGAAGGAAAAAAATAGCATGAACCATCAATCTATTTCAAACTTACTATACTTACGAAAATGATATTAAGCAACAGATGGCCCTATGCTTGTAGGGTGCTTATTTGTATTTAAATGGACAATGTCCAATTGGACCAAAAAGAAGGAAACAGAGGCGACTCAGCAAGTTCTAAAACAAAGGGGTCACTTTGACAGATGCAGAGAGCAGTGGTTTCAAAGATAAGGTTATAGACCCAGAAGACAAGTTTCAAATCTTAGCAGTCTTGCTGGCACAAAGGTTTCTAGGTATATGTGGAGTGTGTGTAGTAGTATTTATCTCATTGTTAGTTAGTGGACTTGCCTCATTTAGGTAAAGTATTTCTTCTTGGCTACAGCTTTTCAAATTTTGAAAAGATATTCAGGCTGTCTAAGTCCCCTCCAGGGCAATGATATTAGCTCTTTTAGGATGCTCTGTGCAACCTTCCATTCTGTTGAACTGTTTTATTCTGCAAAAGCTAAGTGAGCAAAAGAAAAATTTCAAAATAAATATTTTTAAACTGGAATAAAGTCAGAAATAGAACAACTCCCTCATTCTTTTCCATTTCAACATTTAGGATGGAAAAAAGCAGAAGATGCACTGAGTCCCTTACGCAGCTCTGAAAACCTCAAGCAAGGCAGTCAGGAGGGGGAGACTACCTCTGTTCTCCGGAAGGGACACTCATTCTTTTTGCCAAGTGAAGCTTCCAGAACAGCCTCCTTTGCAGCCATGGTGCAGCAACATGGTTATTTTTAAAGATTCCCAATAAATTGGGTAATTTGCCTTGTTTTTATTTCTTTTTATAATAAACACTAGAGAGCGGTTGGAAAATGTCTGAAGTCTAGGTACAAGAAGGTTCTCAAAGTGCTCTCTGGAACCAGCTCAACCTTAAACTTTGAGTCTTTATTAGTTTCAATCAGATCGGGATGGATGGTCAATGGTTTTAGAGAAATGGATACACTAGAAAAATTCTGTAGATTTTGGGAAACTTACGCAGTAAGGGGTGAATAAATCTTTCTTTAAAACAAGACAGTAGCTATACATAGTGACTAAACATGGATTATGCAGGCTTCTGCCTTTTGTAGGGAAAGAGAATAGTCTAGGCTATCTGGATGGACTGACAAATGAATAATTCCTGAGTAGGAATAATTGTGCCCATGTATGATAACCATGGATAAATCCTTCTTGCAGGAGAGATGGATTAGACCAAAGTACAACAAACAGTGAAGATGGTAATATTTGAGGGGGAGAGTGTCCTAGCTTTGCTTCTCTAGTGAACTAATTGTGGAAAAGCTATATTCCTTCTAGAGCTTCACTGTGTGCACAGGACAATTCCAGGTGAAGCTATCATTTGTGAGCCACAGGGCCCTGGTGCTCTGAGGAAGTTATTAATATACTATTGATTGACAAGCAGTCAATTGGCCTGATCAACTGTAAGAAGAAAACCCAAAGAGAATACTTAAAATCCACAATAAGAGAAAAGTATATAAACTAGCACTATTTTTGCATATAACATACCTCATGCTCATAAAACACATCTTCCAATGTCTTTCCCCCACTGCCACCTACAGCCTCAAACAAAGGTTTGTATACCTTAAAAACAAAGACAAGAGATTCATTTTTACAGAAATTTTCATTTCTTATAAATGTATATGAATATATTTTCTTAGCAATTTAGAAATTGTGCACTTAGTTTTAAAAAATCTATACCAGAAGACCTGAATTTTCTTTTGGTGGAGGGGGCTTCCTGACAAAATACTAAAAAACTTCAAATACCAAGAGTGTGAAGGAAATTCTAATCTATTGGCTTATTCAGGGCTACAAGGCAAGAGGCAAAAGCTATTCTATTCTCAAAATACTCTGTCAGAGCAAATTTTTACCCTCAAGTTCGCTGGGCTCAATGAATGCTTGTATTTGATCAGTATGTGTTCACAGGTTCTTTGAGATGACAACTGACAAAATTCACATGGAATTTCAAGTGTGGAAGGGATGCAAATGGGGGGGAGCCCAAAATTTGATATTATGTTGAAGAGTCTTGTGCAATCATAGGTGATTTGTTACAAAGGGTTATGCATATTTTGCTGACTTTTATCTTTTTCTGGAGGGCCATAGAAATCCACAGAAGAAGAGACAAATGTCATTTTAGTACTGGAAAAGCAACCTGGCAGGTACGCACTTAACTATCCACAATCCCTAAATCAGAGAGAGTAGAATCTGGGGGACGCTTGGAACCTCCAGCTGAGAAGCTGCAGGCTGTCTTGGGGCAGTTGGCTGCTGGAAGAGGGGAAGGACATAACAGCTCAGCAAAGGGAGTAGAAAAAAACCCATCCATGTCCCTGGAATGTCCCCAGAGTCCACATAAATATTCTGCCTCAATCCTGTTTCCCCAATGGGTACTTGAAAGCGCACCTAGGTCAGACTATTTTACGTAACTCTGACATGAGCTCACATTTGCAGAACACCACCCCAGTCTTTTGGGGAACCTGCTTTATCAAGCACTTCAAAGAAGTGCTCACATGACCATTCCTTGGAGAGCTAAACAAGTAGTTGCTTGGCAGGAATCTTAAAAAAACTCTAGCTTGGACTGGAAAGTTGAAGTAGTTCTTTGGAAGATAGAATTACAGCAAGAGGCACTGCTTGCTATCTCCAGACATTATAACTTCTTAGGATGACAAGTATAAATTTGATATGTGAACTTTTAAAGCATGAGTGATCAACTAGCACAAGGAGCCCTGGGGACTTGTGGAATTACGTACACCGTAAAGATCGGCTACTCTCTTCATCTGGTCAAAGTCTTCTGCTTGAGCCAGCAGGTGCAACCCCTCAGGATAGAGCTTGCCGCAGGTGGGGAAGAGGGTCTCCCGGTCTTCTTTGCTCAGCTCAGTGCCAAAGGAGTTGAGGGTGATGATAAAAGCACGTCTGTCGGCCTCAAACTGAATTTGCACAACATAAAATCAGTGAAATTGAATAACCTGCTAAATGTCATAAACAGCACCCTAAGTAGACAAATTCATTTATTTTTTTAATAAAAAATTGTATTTACTTGGAATTATTCAGAAGGTTAACAAAACAATTGTTTTGCAACTTTTTTTTGCAATTACAGAGTGATACTTAACAGAATAATCACTTTGTATAAGCTGCATCAAAGACAACCGAAGATGAAAAGCTACCATCTCCATATATAAGTAATTTGTGCTGTGCTCCAACAAGAACCTGCTTTAAGTTTCCATGCCAATTTGCAACCTCCATCCTGTACCAGGCAAGGTTAGTGGCTACTGAAAATACTACCAGGACAGGGCTACCTAAAGACACACTTGGTTATATAGTTAACAACTAACAACAACAACAAAAAAGACAATGTACAGTTTAAAAACAAATCTTACACAGCCTTAGACAAATTCATTTCTGAAGTGATTTGCTTTCTTTTTTCAACCTATACCTGCTTATAATGCAGACATGGGTTATTAATATTCCCTTAGTTTCTTCTTGGAATGGAGAAACTTTGCCAGAGGAAGATCACACAGAGCAGTGATAGCCTATGACTCTTGAAACCCCACCAAGATTTATATACCAGGCACCCTGCAAGGAGTCACCCCTATGTGTCTGTCACGTAGGTTACCAGAGTCACAAATGTCTCTTCCATAAAAATGAGAGTACTATCTACTATAGACCAGTCAGGGATAGAGTAAGATCATGTAAGTGGAAGTCCCTACACTTTTTTGTGTTTGGACAAAAAAAAGGTCCATGTCAAGCATGTTAATATCCCTTTCTAATCCTGATATCAGTGTTGGAATTATTATCATTATTAATATTTGTAGTGTTCAAGATCAACCCAGGGCCTCATTCATGTTAGACAAGCACTCTACAATGGTGCTACATCCCAGTCCATAATTTTTTATAGTAAATTTTATGCTACCTACCATTTGTTTGTATTTTCACAGATTTGGTTTTCTTTTTTGATGTTCTAGGCTAGATATAAAAAACAAATCTAACTGTGTAGCTAAGAATTATATGGCTTGGGATGAGTTATTTTTCTCTCAGGACCCCTGTGTGCTCATTGTAAGGTGATGGGGTTGACCACATGCTCGTCAAGGAAGCTCAACGTGTACCCATGAGCTGTGCTTCCTGTGCTGAACACTGGGCACCTGAACTCATACCACCTCGAGCCTCTGATTTCCTCTAATCACTCAGTCTTTCTTGATGTTTCTTTTCTATTTCTTTGCTCTCCATGTTTCTACTCTCTTGATTCTCCTCCCCACTTTGACCATTGTGTCTCAGTCAGATGCCACTTCAGGGTCACTGCCTCTGCTTACCCTGGGTGTTTGCTGTGGTGCCTCTGGGCTCAGAAACTGTAGGTCCTCAAAGTGACCTGTATTTATCCCATTGTTTAGAAATCTGTGACTGTATTTTCACACTCACTATAACTCCTAGTGAACATGTCTCTCTTGTAGATTTTTGAATAGTTAGTCCCTGTCACACAGGAATATCTTAATTGTTTACTGAATCTAACAGAACAGTCTATGGTTTCACTACTTTTGAAATTCTCCATAAAATTGTTACTCAAAGTCATGCCTTAGTAGTTTTGACATCCCAAGGAAGCTTATGAGAAATGCAGAGTCTCTTGCTGCAGTTCAAGCCTGAAAAACTAAAATCTGCATTTTACAAGATTCCAAGGTTATTTGCATGTGCACAAAAACTAAAAAGGATTGCTCTACACTATCCTTCATTACTTTTGACAACTAGCCAATAACAAAACTGGCTTGCAACAGATTTTACTGGAACCCTTTTGTTAGAACAGGTGTTTCCTATCAGAAGGAGAGTGAGCGTCCCCTCTGATGCCTTTGATTGCTCTCACGGAAATTATGGGTGGGCCAAAAGCAGGGAGTGGCCTTATTTGGAAGCAAAGGCAGCTGCCTCTGGCTACCAGTCCTGTCAGTAATTTTAGACCTTTTCAGAATAAGAGAACAAATGCAAGAAAGGGATTTCATGGCAAAAAGAAATCTTAAAATAAAAATTAGGACAGAAGGAGCAACAATAGAGGTAATTATCCCAGATGTTCTTTTATGTGCCTTCTAGTTCTAAGATCTCAGGATTTTATGGAGAGAAACAGGGAAGGGCAGGCAGCACTGCAGCCATGCAAGACAGCAGAAGGTCATGCTGCAGGAGCGATCTGCATGAGAAGAACATAACTCAAATACTGGGGAAGCAACTGAAGAAGTGGATGGACAGGTAGCTGGGGAGAGAACACGAGGGCTTCATGTGCCATGTCAAGAAGAGTGGACTTTGACTGATATGATAGGTTATCTGAATACTTGCATACTGCCCGACTCCTTGAACTTGAACTTTGTCCTTCTACCTACAGTGCATGTGTTCCATTCCCTGGCTCTGCATGCTGAAATCTGGACCTGCATTGGAGAGTCCCATGAAAAGCCATTGTTTTCATAATAAGGCCTTCTGTTCTTCCCTAATTGGGTGTGATTTCCTTTGAACTCTTATTACACTTTAGCTGCCTTTACATTATAACTATGTGCACAGCTACCTTACTGTTTTCATCAGGACGTTTTGTATGTGAGTGTGTGTAACCTCATAGAGAAAACAGCTATAATTTTAGAATTGTAAAAAACAAGCCTGATCTTTGATCATCCCTAAGCAGAATCTGACACAGCAGCTGATTATAGGAGACTAAATAATGTGGTATTAGTTTGATTTAGCTCTTGTTTTCTTTGTGTGGTATGAGGTATATTGGATGTCCCATATCTTTCTCTTACTCCTCCCTAGGAATATTCATTCATTTCTAAGCCATAATATTTTGTCATTATTGTATTATAAGAGAAAACAATAATGTTGACTTATTCAAAGTCATTAGAAGTTGCACTTCATAGAGTTGGACTGATCAGGTCAAACATTCATGCCTGTTCCTTGGAGGAAGAAGGGTACACCTGGTGGAGGGCAATGACAGAGGTGTTGGTGGCACTGGAAGAGTGAGGTGACTGCAATCAAGTCCAGTCTTATTGTCATGTGCAGTGTCCCATTAGCCATGCACAGTAAATGGGAGAGCAGGAATAAAGGGCAAATAGTATGCTGCAATGCATTTGCCTTGAACGTGAGCCAGTTTCTTTTTTTGAATACAAAAATTATAATCTTGTAATCAGGGCAAATTTTCACATTCTTTCTGCAGTGCTGGGAATCAAACCCAGGGCCTTGTGCATGCTAGGCAAGCACTCTACCACTGAGCTACATCACCAGCCTTTTAGTGCTCTCTTTTATCATGTTAACTCTTTTGAAGACTCCTGTCAAATGAGATTAAATGAGTTTGTACATGGAACTTTATAAATTGTAAATGCTCATAGCTGCACATAAAAAGGAAGATAATTACATGATCTAAAATACACGTGTAAAACTGACAGATCTCCTGATCATATTAATAGAAAAATTGTAATTGCATGCTATATGTAGTTAATATTTCTATATGAGTGTATTAAGGTGGTTGAATGGACTTTATTTTTCATGCTCTTTGAAAACAATCTAATCTAATCATGAGGGCAGGAAAGGAAAAATGAGATCACTGCATATGGAGCAGTTCGATCACATTCTTCCCCTGACAAGCACTTCTCTAATGCTATACTGGCTTTTTTTTTTTTTTTTACGCTATTTAGGATTACAAAGACATAATTCTGTCCTATTTCTGATTTTTATAGGCCATACAATAGGATCTTGCTTATGAATGACCACCTACTTTTATACAAAAGAACTGTGAATGGGAAATTGAATGCAGAGGTAATATGGCACAGTGGATAAGCACATAAGAACGGGAGCCAGGCTGCCTGCGTTCAAACCCTGATTCTACCACTTGGTAATGTTCTAGCCTCTTGTGTCTTAGTTGCTCCTTCTGAAAAATAGATAGTAAAGCACCTACCTTGTTGAGCAGTTTTGAAGTTCAAGTAAATTCATGCGTATAAAGCACTCAGAATGTTATCTTAGCATACGGCTAATGTTAGCTATTTTTTGTTTGGTTTTTATGCTGCTAGGGAGTGAATCCAGGGGCTCACACATGCTAGGCAAGTGCTCTACCTCTGAGCTATATCCCTAGCCCAATGTTAGCTACTAATAGTGCCATTATATACCCTCTGTAAGGTTATGAGTTCCTTTTTTTTGGTATTGCAGCGGTTTGAACTCAGGGTCTTACGCTTGCTAAGCAGGCCCTCCACTACTTGAGCCACTCCACCAGCCCTTTTTTTGTGCTGAGTATTTTTGAGATAGGGTCTCTTGAACTACTTGCCAGGGTTGGCTTTGAACCATGATCCTTCTGTTCTCTGCCCTCTGAGTAGCTAGGATTGTAGGCCACCAGTGTCTGGCAGGTTATGAGTTTTAATAAAACTTCTATTTCAGATATTTCTAGGTATTAAATACATAAACTATTTCTAAACCACAGGATTATGCTATAGAGAAGCTTCAGTTTTGAACTACAGAGAATGTGGCTTTTTCAGTGTGGCTAGTCATTGCATTTATGAAAAGAATGGAACAAATTTACAGGGTCACTAGGTTACTTATGTTATGTTACCAACCTAACATTCTGGCTTTGAGTATGCCATGAAGAGAAACACTACTTACTTCTTCAGTGCTAGCTTTCCATGTGATATAGATAAGGACAAAAATATTTTTAGTTATCCAATGATAAGACTTTTACTTCAAGGACTGCTTTATTTTAAGAATTTCATCAGGGGATAACAAAGTAACTTTAACTGTAAAATGTGAATGATTAAATGTTTTGAGAACTAATTTTATCATAGGCAGTTGCAGAACACTGGGCTAAAACATATACAAATGACATTAATAGATGTTTCTTGTTTGCTCATTTGTTTTGCCTAAAGGACACTGCTTATGAGATTTTGCTTGAAATAAGGTCTTTGAGCTATCAGAATATCTGCCCACCAGTAAAGTCACTGTAACAGATTATCTGGTGATTAAAAACATTCCTTAGGTAAAATTTAGGTTCAGAGGGCAAAACAAGAGCTTAGAAAAGCTGCAAAGTGTTATTTCTTTATTTTTCAAGTGGATCAGGAAACCAGGGAGAAATGTGTGTGAAACTCTCAATGCAAACTTTGCCCGTAATGTCCACAGACCCTCCTGACTTCCACCCAACCTCCCATGCATTTGCATGGTCAACTTTCTGGCAAGAGGACTCCAAGCATGGATGGAACCTGTGGTAACAAAGGGAATTCAAAGGAGCCTTGCATTGCCATAGAGCAGGCATTGATGGTGGCATCTGATATAAAATTAAATGAGTTTGCCCACTGTGCATCACCTCACTGAAGTCTTCGGAAGGTGAAACACTGGAGGACTGCCTGGGGCAGCCTTTATTTTAGGATTTGTATAAGGGATGATATTGCTGTGACTGGGACTACCATGGACTGTGGTCCCGAAATGTCCCCTCTTTGAGTAAATTTGAGTGATTATATAAGATTACCTATTGTCCATATTACACAAAATTAATGATAATCTCTCTTCCACATACTCCACCAAAATGAATCATGACCAAACTGTTGTCAGCAATTTTCCTTTGCTCTTTGGCAGTCCTGGGATTTAACTCAAGGCCTCAGGCTTGCTAGGCAAGCACTTTACCACTCGAGCCTCACTCCCAATCTTTTTCTTTTTCTGTTTTGCTTTTAGTTTGTTTTTCAGATAGGGTCTTCTGCTTTTGTGTGAGCTGGCCTTGTACTATAATCCTCCTACCTCCATCTCCCAAGTACCTATGGTTAAACAAATGCACCACCATACCCAGCTTTGTTTCTAAGATGGTTCTCTCTAACGTTATTTTACCTTGGCTGCCCTTGAACCTTGGTCCTTCTATTTCTGCTTCCTGAGTAGCTGAGATTACAGGTATGAGTCACCATGCCCAACCCTTGTCAGCATTTTTCTTTTTTTGTTTTTGCATTGCTATGGATTGAATCCAGTGCCTTGCCTGTTAGGCAATTGGTATATCACTGAGATACATGTCTAGCCCCCAAGAAAATACTACTTTTAATTGAAGATGTTGATTGATCCATACAATAATTTGTACTGCTTATTTAATTTCTAGATAACTTTTAAGATAAAGAAATATAAGCAGGGTCAAAACAAAGAAACATATGTAAGCACATTTATTTGGCATAGAAAAATCCAAGAACTCTGTCTTACCTCAAGAATGGGACACATAATATCTGCTGTGACATCACCATGATTCTTGCAGAATTTATAGAATGCCTCCAGGTAAGACTTAAAAGGAGAAATATCATAAAACAATAAAATGAATAGTTTTCCTTTTGGAAATTTCTAGATCATCTTTTCATGGTTTATTAAATGCTTTAATGGAAATTGAATTCTTTCCTCATAGGAGATATTTTATGATAAATTTCGTAGAAACTCTCATGTTGTAGCATGTTGCATAGACTTAAAAAAGAACCAAATTGCACTTATCATAATTTACAATTACTTAACAAGCATTTTTTTTTCTGGTAAGGTTTTTGGATTAGTTTGTATGGTTAATTCTGGCTATTGTAACAAAAGTACCAAACTCTTTTTTGAGCTCAGCAAGTGATTTTCATGGCCCTGACATTTAATCTCTTAGAAACATATGTTGGATGGTTCCAAGTGTGGGATATATTGGAAAGGCAAGTCTGGGCTGTAGGGTAGACAGCCTGTGTTTGAATCCTAACTCCACTTCTTACTAGCTAACAGGCTTCTGTCAAGAAAACCTTACTTCTATGTGCCCCAGTTTAGTGTCTGAGGAGTAGGCATAGCAAATATCTCACAGGTTTGCTGCTATATTAGGTGAATTAAAGCCTATAAATGGCTTAGAACAGTGCTTTCTTCTGTTAGTTATAACTGCCTCCTCAAAGCTCATATGTTTCTTTATAAAAAGAAAAATTTCAGGTAATACAGTGCTTTTTAATAACAGAGATGTCTCTTTATGAAAAAGAAATTTCCTATAATTAAAAAGACTAGGTGTTTAACTATAACATGCTACTTAAATGGCATGACAGTATGTATTCATTTACTCTGTGAGGGTAACCAAAGATGCGATATTGTATGAGTGAAAATTAGCAGATTTTGCTCAGCTTATAACACCAGCACTACTCTACTGGTGGCAGCACAGTCTAGATAGTCAGATTATGCATAGTGTACATAACATCCACCGTTTAGTCATTCTGGTATGCTGCACACTCTAGTTTAAAACTCATGAGCAGGTTAACTGTAAGATTCAAAGATTCTATAATAAAGATGCACACTGTGTAATGGAAGATTTACTGTATATGCTGCTTCCCTTAAATGGATTGATATGGTTTGCCTCACTCAGTTATCTGTCTACCTACTACCATCCAATCAATACCTTTTATGTTCTGGGCATCATATAAAGATAGGAATACAAAAGAACAGGCCATGCTATTTCTTCTCCAAAATCCTTCTGGTTGGGGGAAACTGACATGCATAAACATAACTAGAAGATGGGCCAAAACAATAAAAAATTATTCCAAATCTCTATAGCTTCATATTTGCAGAAGTTGGCTAATAGGAAAAGTAGCTTTATTAACATAGAGCACTAGTTATGACAGATCATGTAATCAAGAAAAGTAATATTTGGGAAAGCCATTACCTTGTAGAGTTTATTGCGCAGTAATTCAATATTCAGTTCATCAAGAGTATTTTCAGACATACAGTCTTGAAAGAATGGAGCTGAAAGCAAAAGTTATCACACAAAATACATGATATGAATCAAAAGCAAGACTATACACTGTTTCCTGGACCCACCACCCTTTGTTCACTGTTAATGAGAACACTGTGGAGTTGCAACCCCCAGTTTCAGCAAGACTAATGGCAGCCAAGGCTTTATTTATGAAGCCTTTCCTGTGTGAGAGCCCTAAAAACTGAATGCACTTTAGCTTATTTAATCTTCACAGTGCCTTGGAAATATTCACTTTTTGGAATCTCTCCCTCACACTCTTAGTTATCTAACAGTAATATTAACAATCTGCAACATAACTTGCACCAAGCACGAAGTTGTACTAAAATTATGTTTTATTTTATTTTCAAAACTCTGTCATAGTAAGATATGATTATTTCTGAAATGAGGAAATGGAGGTGAACAGAATTGCCTCAAGTCATCTTGTTGGGACTAAGAAGAGCCTGGATTTATGTTCATGGCTGTCTGATTTCAGACTCACACTCTTTCCACCCGGCTATGCTGCCTGGCTGAAATTTGTGATGCTTAAAGGTGACACAAACATTTGTTTTTGCTTTTTTTTCAAATTTCTATTTTAAATGCAACTATTTTGGTTAGAGGTAGGCTCAGTGGTAGAGCATATTCTTAACATGCAAAAGGCCGCAGATTTAGTCTCCAGCCACCCCCGCCCCCAATTAAGATAAAGGCAAACTATTTTGACAGACTATCAATAGTGAATTGCTGCTCCAGACGTTGCAACAATACAAGATAAATAATGCTTATAAAGTTATCCACTTAGCATTTTGAATAATACAAGTGTCAGTGCTAAGTAATAATTAAATTAACATTCATTTCATTGCTTCAGATCACTCGACAGATACTCCTTTTAGAAAATCTTTTAGAAAAATGACATTTCTAAATTTCCTAAAACAAGATGCTTTTTAAGTGTGACTTTATTTAGACAGAAGTTTAAAATGAAAGGAGGAACTAATCACATAAAACTCAGCTTCTAGGTTAATATTTTAAAAATCACAATGCCTATCATTGATTTGCTACTGTCTGGTAGAAAGTTCAAGGGTTTGGAGGTTAGGAGATGTGCCTGAGCAACTTCTCTGCTATAAATGGTTCTTACCTATCCTGAGCAGGTGGCCTTATTTGTCTTGATCTGACAAATGAAGGGGCAAGAGGAGATGATTCTTTTTTGGTGGGACTGGGGTTTGAACTCAGTGCCCTGTATTTGATAAGCAGGTGCTCTACTGCTTGAGCCATACCTATAAGGTTAGGTGATTCTTGAATGTCCCTTCTGCAGCTATGAGTCTTTATAGCATGCAACTGCATTCTTAGAAAAAACTATGCACTGAAGGTACATTTGTGATGACCGTGATGACATACACAGGCTGTTATTTACTTGTATATTCATACCTAATGGTGTTTCAACCAGCACGGCGTTAAAGAGATCTGAAGTGGTCTCTGCAATGTTGACAGCTTCCATTTCTGTGAAACGGCCCAGTGGGTGACACTTAGACAGAACTTCTTTCACTGATTTTTTTTGCAACGCACCATTCATGAGTAGAATCACATTGTCTATCATGTAACTGCATCTGGTTCAGAAGAAGATGCAGTCATCAGGAAAGCAATAGCATGAGGGTAAGGAGCATCCCACAAGCACAAAACAAAGTTCAGGCACACACTCTTTCATTAAAAAATACAACTTTCTTTTTTATTTTAAACTCTGAAGTTTAGGAGATATGTGTGGGGAAAAATATCCCAGAAGATGCCATAGTTTGAAAAGCCACATTCAACTAACTACAGCAAAATAGAACCTTGGCTGATGGGTAATGCCAAAGATGGCCCTTATACAGTGATTATCCCATGTGATGGGTGGGGTGAGGGGAAAATTGTTTTGCTTATCGGAAAGGACTGTGGTTTTGAAAAGTTGAGCAATACAAACTAGAGCATCTCACTCTATTTTAAAAGTTGTTTGAATCTGCAAAGAAACCTATGATCTGGGGATTCTAAATTTATGCTAAAATATTCTGTATTCTTTTCCTCCTTTAGACCAGATTTGCCAGCATAAGCTAGAAAATTCACTAGCATAAGCTAGAAAATCCTCATATTCCCAAGAGTTCATAAGTTCATACTTTATGTGGTTTCTTTACTAAATATAAGCTCTGTCCAGGATACTCCGGATATGTGTACCTGTTTACTCACATTTTCAGCACTTAGAATATTCCAGGATGTGAGGTGGAGAGAAGTAAAGGAGACTCAGTCCTGTCCTTCACAAGAAAATATAGTTAAAAAGAAGAACTGGATGGTTGACTGCTGGTGGCCCATGCATGTAATCCTAACTATGCAAGAGACAAAGATCAGGAGGATCAAAGTTCGAGGCCAGTGGCTGGGAAATAGTTTGAGAGACCCTATCTTGAAAATACTCAACATAAAAAAAGCCCTAACCCAGTCCAGGAATCAGACTTCAACCTGAAACCCCGAGTAAAAAGTAGGAGGGCCTGAGAAAGAGGGGGAAAGAGTGTTTCAAGGCAGAAGTAAGAAGTGCATTTGAATAGACCTTGAGCTGATGGCACAAGAATGTTCAGGATTTCTATTGTCTGGGCCCAGCACTGGAACAAGGTGAGCTGCCCATACTGGGTCCTAAAAACCAGATAAGGAACTTGGATGTTAAGGGCAATGGGAGACACCGAATGCCTTTAACCTGAAGGGAACACTAGCTGGGTGTGCCAGCACACTTCTGTGATCCCAGCACCCATGAGGTGGAAGCAGGAGGACTGTGACTTTGAAGCCAGCCTGGGCTGCATAGTGATACTCTATCTCAAAAAAGCCAACTCTCCCCCTCCAAAAAAAAACCGTAAAAGGAGTAGTAACTTTATAGTCTATGCATTAAGTACTAAGGAGACACTAATAGAGGAAGGTGCTTTATGAAAGCTGGTAAAAACACTGTACAATAAGTACTATTATTATTTCCATTTTACAGATGAGAAACCCACGGCCCAGAGAGACATAAATGTAGTCCAGGATAACACTCACAATTAACAAACAGGACAGCTGAGAATCAATCTTAGGCAGTCTGCTTCTGGGACCGTAAACTTAACCCTTAGATCATATTGCTTTTAGTCATCAAGGATGGCTTCATGGGTTTCTAAGTTTAATGGTTAGGTTTGGGCTATTGATTGAGATGAGAGTATTAAGGGAAGGGAGGGGAGGTTGCAGTGGGCAGATGAATTTAAGGTGCTCAGGAGATAGCCAAGAGGCCAAGTGCTAAGAGGTCTTAGATGTCTGTGTCCTGAAGTCACCTGCAGACAAGAGGCTGCTGAGAGGGTCAGGAAGGGTGTGTGTACCTGCCCCTACCTTCCCTTCCTCCAGTGTTCTCATCTAAATCAATAGCCCACAAACCTAACCATTAAGCTTAGTAACCTACTTTGATGGAAGCCAAAGTCTTGAGAATAATTATGTTCACATCTTAGAGGGCATATAAAATATTTTTTCCTAATCCCTGGGAATCCCAATATTTAAGGGCTTTAAAGGAAACTGACAGGAACGACCATATAGAAGAAGGAGAACCAAATGGAGCGAATTCTAAAAAAGTTTTAGGAAGAAGTGGTAGAGTGTCAAAGGCGACAGGTACATCAAGGTAGACACCGAAATAGACATTCTCAGGGTATAGCAACTAAGAGGTTATCTGAGAATACAGAGGAACATTTTCTGTGGGGTGTGTTTGTGGGAGAGAGAAGGGAAAGGAAGGCAGAAGCCTGACCACGGTGTGTTTAAGTGAATGAGAAGTGAGGAGATCAAGGATAGAGAGTTCATATTCCAAGTTGACCTTAAAGTAGGAAATAGCTCTGTGGAAACACAAGGGCCAAGGGAACTTTGGTTTTGATTAAGGTGGTAGCTAAGTGGAGAAGTGTAAGTAGGAGGGGAACGAGGCAGTGAGAAGGTGAAGTTGCAGACTGGAAGAGGGAAGGGACAGTCCATTGATGAACTGAGGTCCCGAGATTTAACAGAGGTGGGAGGTTGAACCACAACCACAAGGTAGACTTGAAAAATGACACTTTACACCAGAATTAAATTAACCTGGACACTTAGAAGCACTGTCGCTGGAGCCCAGCTGCGTGGGTTACAGACTTCCTAAGCAAGAATTCATTTCTGGGTGGAAAAGCAAGTCTGCTTCACTGTGGAACGTCTGCAGCTTACCCAAATGAAAATTCTAGCTAAAGAAGTTCTTGAAACAGGCAATTATCCCTTTATAAAAAGCACATGACTAGAAAGTTTCTCCACCTCCAAACAGCAGTGCCAAATTTAGACACTATGGAATTTTAGAATCCTTTTTATCTCTTGAAAATTATATTAACATGGAAGTGCTTATTTAACTGTCCCTTTATGACTCAAAAGCCATTACCTGAGAGGGGAATTACCAGCACTTAATAATCCTTAGCAGGCTGTAGACATTTAATTGTTCCCCACAGCACCTCTGTAATGTAAAAGCATATGAGATGCTAACATTTCCAATTTGCAGAAGACTGGAAGACCAACACTGACAGGCAACCAATGTCAATGCGTGAGGCTTTCTCCCACGTCTAACATAAACTTATGACTACACAGTGTGTGAATAGTGTGTTCCCTGGATATGCTTATTTTTGTTATTATTTTACTAATGGAGAGGTGATGCCCTATATTGCAAAGAACAAGAGTTGTGTAGATTGGATTCTGTTTTATTTCAACTTACTCTTTGAGTGGACTTGTTTCTAAAAATGGGATGATAACACCAGTTCTCACAGTGTTGTTCAGGAAATGAGTGAGAACCCAAGGCTTGATTTGTGCTGGGGGACGGAGGTATCTCTTTCTTAATCTGTCCCTTATCTCCCACTCTCAAACGCACCAGGAACATGATTATCATCAGTTGTTGGGATAGGGAGACAGTGTCTCCAGAAGACAGTCCACTTTCTCCAGCTGTAATCTTTATAGACCTCCCTCCAGGGCCATGCATACAGTGGAGAGGAATGAAATAATTGCTGGTGTTGCCCAACTAATGTCTGATCTTCAACACATGTGATTAGACACTTAGTTAAAAGCCCCATCTTTTAGATATTGTGTAAGTAGCCACAGAGCCAGGATCAGTGCCTATTCAGTCAGGTTAATTTTTTTTTTTTTCTAACTCATGGCCTACACAAGCATCTTTATTTTTAGCTCTTTCTAAATGTTTTATTCTACAACTTTGATATGGGCACCTGTGAAAATCATGAAGTCACCTAAAACTATGATAGAGTTAATGAGACAAGACAAAAATTTTTAGGTTGTAAAAAAATATTTTTAAGCAGGGGGTGGTGGTTACTGTAATCCCAGCACTTGGGAAGCTGCAGCAGGAGGATCACAAGTTGAGGTCAGTCTGTCTCAAAAAATGGTAAACACTAATCCCTTTTAGAGGATTTTACTGTGTAACAGGAATTATATATATTTTCTCTTTCAAATTTCCCAACAGTTCAATGCCATAGGACCATTATTAGCTGTACTTCCCAGATAAGGGAATGGAGGCGTAGAGGTATGAAACACCTGGCTTGCAGACTGTACTGCTCTCGCTTGTTGCCACTAATGCTTACCTGCCTCACTATTTGGGCTCCTTGGCATTAGAAGCCCCTGCAGATGTGCCGAGCATGTTCCTGTCCCCTGAGTGTGCAAAGCCTAGGCCACACTGAAGCCAGCGGTAAATAAGCAACCACTTTTCCAAAGCCTCAGGTTCCTGTATCAAGTAAAGCAGTTCAAGCCAGACAATATTTTTAACATTTCCTTTTGGTCTTAGAGTTGTTCTTTCTCCTCTTGTTCTCTAACTTGTTTAAGGATCTTAAAATATTTTTCTATGACCATGACCAGATTCTGGGCTTTATGGTCAGATAACGTCTAATTTGCTGAGTTAGAGGCACTTTCTTCTATGGATAAAAATTTTAGCACTTCAATGTCCTTAGCAATAACTAGGAAATGACTGTCATTTGCTAAGCATGCTGGCACAAGATAGAAAAAGACAAAGGCCTAAGACAAAATCATATCAGCAAAGATCTCCCATCATCTATACCGTCATACCACTTCTTCTCATTCACCATTCCTAGATCCCAGAAAACACAAATCTGTTCTCTCCATAGTTTTGCGATTTTGTGATTGATATATAACTGGTCACACACATTATATGACATTTTGAGATTGACTATTTTAACTCAGCTCAATGCCCTTTAAGTTGTTGCATATAAATCGCTTATTTCTTTTTTCTGGTGTGTAGTGCTCCATGATTTTGATATATGACAGTGAATTTAATTATTCACCTATTGAAAGGTATTCGATGGTTTTCTAGTTTTTGTTTATTACAAGTGAAAAATGGTATGGACAATAGTATCCTAATTTTTATGTATAAATAAATTTTAATTTTCTGGGATAAATGTCAAGAAGTATAGTTTTATGAGTCACACAGTGAGGATATGTTTAAGAAATTATGAAACTGTTTTCCAGTTTAGCAATACCAGTATTAGTGCAATGTAAAAACTTTACTTCATTTTAAGTTTCTTTTATTTGTTTGTTTTTAAGACATGGTCTAGGCATGTAG